GAACAATGACAATAACAAAAGCAAAAATAACAGTGGCAGTGACAATGACAGTGATAATGATAATGATATTGAGACTTAGGATCAGAATGAGCTTAAGGGTACTATTAAGGGTGAGGATGAGGGTGACAGTAATAAAAACAAAAATGGTAATGATAATGATTATAGTAATGATAATTATAATGGTAATAATTATTATTGTAATGATCATGATAATGATAATGATTATGATAATACTGGTGATACTGATAATACTACTAATAGTAATGATAATAATAATGATAATAATAATGATAATGATAATGATAATGATAGCAATGATAATAATAATGATAGTGATAATAATTATAGTAATAATAAAAAAGGTAATGATAATGATAATGATAACAATGATACTGTATTATAATGATAATAATAATAATAATGATAATGATAATAATAATAATAACATTGATAATAATGATATTAATGATAATGATGATAATTATAATGCTGATGTTTATGATATTTAAAATGATGATGATGACGATGATATAGAAATAGTAGTAACATTGATGATGATGATGACAGTAAAAATGATCATAATAATGATAATGATAATAATGTTCCTGATGATGATGTTAATGATCATGATGAGAAGGATAATAATCATGATATGATGATGATAATGACTCTAATAAGGATTATCATAATGATTATATTGAAAGGGATGATGTTAAGTATGACAGTGATAATGATAATGATTGTAATAAGAACTATGAAAATGATACAGACAACAGCAGTAGCAAAATTGATGATAACAGTGATGGTGCTTCATCATTGTTGAATTAATTATTGCTGCAACCATCTTGCTTACACCTTGATGAATTTCAGCTCCAGATTTCAGCATGTACTTTACTAATCCTGTACAAGTTACTAATTATTGCATGATTTCCTGCCAGCTCCCAGAGGAAACAGCGACTTCGCCAACAAGGTTCGATGTTTGATGGACTTGGGAGTAGGGGAGCAGCAGGCCCTTGTTGCATTATCATCCTGCAACTGGGACATGGATCGGGCAATCGAACAACTCTTCTCGTAGATGCGTGTGGTTGGGATGCATAGGTAAAGTAAAGTAAAGTAAAGTATTAAAAAAAAAGAAAGAAAAAAAAAATGAATAAAAAAGAAATGGGGATTTGCACTTCATCATTTCATTGGTAATAATATCTTTTGAAGTCTGGTTGCTTGCAAGACATTACTCTGGTGTTCTTATGGATGAAGAGGCATTGCAGCACAATGAGTTAAGCTTGATTATCTAGCCCTGGGCTTAGTCCATTTCAGAATGTGGTTACTCAGTCGATGATTTTAACAAATTTGAATGTGAACTTGGGCTATGTGAATATGAACTCTGTAGGGCTGTGAAATAAGTATTTGTCCTGTGTTATGCATGACTCATTTTGGAATTAGTGGCATACTTCTCCTAATTTCTTTTATAGGATGGCAATAAAAGTCGAGAGACTCAGCTAACTGACATAAAACATCTTGTAAACCACTAGTTTAAGTAAAACTCATTGCTTTGATTACCATGCTAATGAAAGAAACATTATAAACTGTGCTTTACATGATTTGGTTAGGCAAGATTTGGCAAACTTTTTTCATACATCTGTTATTGTTCTTTCTCTGTTGGAAATTGTATTACCCAGTATGATCTCTTTTTTGCTCTTTTTTTTTGGTATTGAAAGTGGCAGGGGTAATTGTTTAGCAATACAAGATTGTGAAGAGATGTTGCAATTAAGTCTCCAATAAAATTCCTGTTTAAACAGTAGTTTAGTAAAATGGTAAATATTTATGTTCATATTCTTTGGCACTATTCTTGCTGAAAGTCTGGGATTTCTTGTAGCATACCCACAAGTTCCCCCCCCCCCCTTTTACCTTGTTTTAAGGGTCTTGGTCCTATGAACTAATTATCATAAGTGATGATGATCTGTCAAAATACATTGCCTCAATTGTAGGATCATTGATGAGGTTAGTCAGATTTTTCTCTTGAATCATAAGCAGCAGTTGCAGCAGTCTGCCAAAAGTTTTGGGATAGTAATTATTCTTCAATTTTCATTATTATTGTTTTTTTCTCCACCTCATTTTGTTGACAGATTTTAGCGTTTGTTTTTAGACTTATTGCCACTTAAAAGAAGAGATGACAACATTGGAAACATGATACAGAGATGATACTTTACCAGTGAGGACCAGTGGATCATAAGATGTACCATCATTCTTTGACATTGTACCAGAGTAGAGAGGGATATGCAGTCCTTGTATAGTGTGCCATTCTTCATTTCTTCATTTGCTCCAGCTCTCCTTGTCATTACCAAATAAGAAATGTCTCAGTGCTATTAATGAATAATTGTCTCCTTTTATTATATGTAGAATACAAGTGTTATTGTCATAATTAAGTTTGTTATCTATACCCTAGATATGTCTTTTTTATAGAAGTAAAACATCAGAAGGCAAACTGAGGCATTATCATAGA